GCTTCTAGAATAGTATATATATATCAAGTATCTTTCATTTTATAGCTATCGCCTGTCGGAAGAAGAAGGTTCAGGGTATCCCCTAGTCGGGAACTACCGACTAGAATCTCTTACTTGTTTTTGTATAATCACATCGGATTCTGTCTATACTATGAGAAATGTTGATCAGCTTAAGATCTGGTGGATCGCTTACCTTAAGTATGAGAACGACGCGATTTAAGCGTTTGACGATTTCCAATGTTTTGGTCTCGTCGATGACCTCCGCGTCGAGCATTTCACGTATGGAGTCGAATTCGAAGATGATCTGCTTGAACCACAGCTCGTAGGCTGTCAAGAGATACAAATTGATTTACAGATTGTTTCAGAGAGATCGAGACAGTGAATGGGGGAGGAGGGAGGAGGGAGGAGGGAGGGAATTGTACCCTGATGCGTTATGATAAACAAATGCTCATCGTGGACGGGCCTCTTGTCCTCCATGGAGAGCATGCACTGCGCATCCAGCAGCTTGTCCAGCATCAGATACTCGCCATAGATTTTGCCCACCTCATTGGACAGTGGAACGGCGCCATCATCGTGCTCATTTCTGTAGTAGCGACAAACAAATCTGTTCTGACTGCACGATTTGATTTTAGCGAAATTGAAAGGCTTACCCAATGCCAGCATAGGGGCAGCTCATGATTTCGGATTCCAATTGACAGCGATCGGATGCGACTCGCAGCAGCTCGTGCCTCAGACTGAGCCCACTAATAAAAAAACAAAAAAACAAACATAAGATCGCAGCAAGTTGGCAGTTCCAAGCCAGTGCACAGCTGCCAGCTCTCAGCTTACGGAGCGCCATTCGACCAGAGTTCACACACAGATTCCTATGAATACCCTGTAAAACAGAGGCGTATGGCTCAGACGAAAGGCGTACAAAACGATGATCTTTTATGTGTAGACACATTTGCCTGAAAATCGATAAATATCGATAAATATCGATTGAGCGGCTCGCTCTTTGGCGCATAACTCGAGAAATATACGAGCTATCAGCCTCAACTTTGGCATGTAGCTGCTTGAATACCCTAGAAAAGCAAGACATAAATCAGTTTTTTGATTTGTATAAAATTTCGAAATAATCGTTGAGCAAATGCAACTACAAGAGCGGGCAGCGGGCTCTGTCTGCATATAGTTAAGAGAATGTTTACAGGGTAGCTGCTAGTCGTGCTCGCCAGCCAGACTGCGCGCTCTTATCGCCGTTGTCTGTCCAGTGTCGATTGTTGTTTTGGGGCCTTATCAATGAGAAGGGTTTCGTTGCCGTACCAAGTCGGAAGGTCGAATCCCATCTTCGTCCAACTCGCATTTAAACAGCAATTTTTTTTTAGTTTTTTGTTTTTTTTTTTTTGTGGTTTTTTTTCATATAATTGTTTTTTTTTTGTTTAAAATGTATTTGTGAGTCATTTGGCTCAGTCATATTTTTAAATTTGTTATATAACTTGTTTAATTTAATGTTACCTTTGCCTGTTCTTAAGTTTTTTGTTCTTCGTTTCTTTCTTTCCCTTTGCGTTATTTTAATATCTATGTTTATTTATATATATATATTTATTTTTGTTGTTGCTTAATTCTTTAATGAATACACATTTTCACATTTTCGTGTGTGTCTTGGTTATTTGTTTGTTGTTGTTGTTGCATTTGTTGTTTTTGTTGCATGCCACAAAAAAAAGTCGTCATAACCATTCAATAGATTAGTGTATAATATATATACTAATTTTAATTTGTATATATATATATATATATATTTTATATAATTTGTGAACTACATTTTGCATTAGAAAAAAAATAGTTATAGCTGATATTCAGACAATTAAAACAATTAAGTGTGCTCTAGTCGGGCGTGCCCGACTCGCAGATACCCTCAACCCAGCGCCAAGCTGTCCTTACATTCTACTTTCCAGCTTTTCTCTATGCATGCACACATACATACACACATACATAGACACACACACAGTTATGCACAAGTTTTGTAATCGAAATTTATCGTTTTTTTGCAAAAATGTAAGACTCTTTTGAATATATATTTTAAATGTTGAGTTTTTCGGCTTTTCGATACTTATCGATTTGGTGTCAGCAAGAAAAACGTCTTTTGAATATGTATTTAAAATTTCTAGTGTTTGGCTTTTGTAATCGATATTTATCGATTTTGTGCATACAACAAACGTCTAGGCTTTAACTTTTGTAAACGATATTTATCGATGTTGTGCAAAAAAAATGGAAAACTCTTGACTATATATATTTCAAATATCTATATTTTTTGCGTTTGTTATCGATATTTATCGATATTATGTATGTCGAATTCTTAGGCATTAACTTTAGCTCGTTCACACAGGCGGACAGGCGGACGGAGGGAGGGACATGGCTGGATCGTGTCATATATATATATATATATATGTATATTCTTTTGTCTGTTACATACGTGTGCACAGAATCAATATACCCGTTTTAACCGTTTTCAATGGGTTCAGGGTATAAAAACACAAACTTTCACGTTTTCGTTTCGTTTCGTTTCGTTTTTTTTACTCTTTACGTTTCCATTAAATTATATTTGTTCATTTATGTATTACATAAACATCTAATATATATATATATATATATATTTTTTGGTATTTATATATATATATATATATATTTATTAAATATGCAAATCGCGCTGCTTTTGTCAATTCAAAATTGTTTGGTTTTTCTCTCTGAATCGAATTGTGAATTTGTTTCGCATTGCGCCTAAAACTGCGCTTTGCAATATTTTGTTGTATCGATTAAAAACTAATCACACACATATATATATATATATAGTTATATATGGTTTATATATATATATGTGTATAAATATATGTGTCTAAGTTCGTTTTGCGCTGTGGATCTAGATCTATTAAATCTATGTTTTATATCTGTAGCTCTATCTAACTCGGCTCTCGCTCAATGCTTTGCGTTGTCTTTGTTCTTGTTATCTTTAGTATATATATTTATCATATAATATATGCCTATATATTTGTATAGGTTTATCATAGACATTAACGCAATATGTGAATTTTAAAAAATAATATTCGCTTTCGACACGTTTTTTTCTTCTATTCGTTATGTTTATCTTTTTTTGTTCTGAATAGTATATGTATATATATATAGTATATACTTATATAGTATTGTATGCACTTTTCATTCAATTTTTGTTATATTTTTATTTTCATTTATTTTTACCTGTTTCAAGTTGTAGTTTTTTTCGAACAAGCTTTTTGTTGGTTTGTCTTTTGTGCAACTTTGGCACTTTTACTTAGAAGTAGATGATTTACGAATGATTCAATAGATAGTACGCATTATGCACACACACACACACACACACATATATATATACATATATATATGTGTGGACATGCACACACATATATGTATATACACATATAGACGTATTCATGAAACCCAAACAAACTGCAGCTCACAAAAGATACGCATGTGAGAAAGTCACGCCCAAAAGTACATGCATATGGAATGTGGCGAATCAAATTTATATTCAATAAAAATTGAAAATAAAAAAAAAAATAAATATAGAGTAGCGCTGCATTCGGCGCGCCGAAGTCCAAATACCCTTGCAGAACTAGTAAAGGAAAAAGAAAAGTAATTGATTTAAACTATAAATATATATATATATATATATAAATATATAACAACCCGTTAACTTGATCTTTAAATCATCTCATATTTTCGTTGTTCTCGACTTATAAAGAGACTCTCTGCATGATATTTGCGCAAACATAACCTCAAATTGCGCATGAGAATCGCATAGAAGCGGACAATGCCATGCTTGACGAAAGTTAAGAAATTATAAGGCCCTCTGCATGGGTATTACAAAATATATCGCATATTTATTATACAAAGTACAAAAAAAAAAACACGAGTACATATTATATTATTATGGGAAAAAAATTATATATATAAATTATAATAATAATATATGAATAATTATATATTAACGCTTAAGTATAGTCCCGCTAGTTAAGTTCTTCTTTATATAAGTTATATATATATATATAATAGCTTGGAAAAAAAAAAACACAATTTTTCGTACATATTTTTTGTCGTTTTTTGTTTTGTTTTTTTTTTTTTTTTTGGTTTTTTTTTTGATTTTGTTCTAGTTTTGCGTGTGAGAAAAGTTCGCTATAGCAACAAATTGCACTACATTCAAATATATATATATATATATATATATATATATATATAATATGTATATATAATATAATATAATTTAATTTATGCATATTTCTTTTGCCTAAAATCAAATGCAATTTCCTTATCATTGAGCAAACACGTTCGTTAAAGCGAATCAACTAAGCGAACAAAATTTTGAATTAAATCAAAATATTAATAATAATATACATATAGGTAATTAATTTTAAAATTTTGTGTATATATATTTATGTTGTTGTTGTTTTTGTTTTGTTTTTGTTTTGTTTTTGTTTTGTTTTTGTTGCATTTGTAGCACCCAGCATGTAATAAATAAATTCTTAATCAATTTTGGTTTTTCGTTCTCTTTCACTTTTGGTTGTTGCATTTCGAACTTAACTTAAAAAAAAAAACACACACACATTTTTTCTCAACTTGTTTTCATTTCGTTATTAAATACGAGTATTTGTTGTTGTTGTTTTGTCTTTATATTTTGCTGCAATCACTAAATTCTAGTGTTGTTTGCGTTACTGCTCGTGCAGTGTTGCGAAGCGCACAATACCGCTGCAGACTTCGTGGGGCGGGAAAGTAAAAGGTAGGCTAAACACACACACGCACACACACACAGATACACACAGCCACACAGACAGACAGAGACAGCTAGAGAGCATGTGCGAAAGAGAGAGAGAGAGAGGGAGAGTGGGAGAGGGAGAGAGCAACTGAGCTGCTCGCTAGGATCAACGCGTTATCGATTCGAACTCAACGGCAAACTGTAGCAACATTATTTTTGAAACACTTGAAATAGTTTTTCATTTTTTTTTTGGGTTTCTAAATTATCGTTCGTTTAGAGGTTGGCGGTTTGGCTACTTGGGGCTGGGCGTCTGCGTTGGCCGCTCATCTGCCGCAGCCGGCGCCGGCGCCGCCGCCGCCCAAATGCACTGAAGTCGCTGACAATTCGACGCGTTGACACTGGCGGCGCTCAACAATGACCGCCGCTGGCAGCGACTATTCCAGCCCGGGTCATACGTTCATCGCATAGTAAACGGATCCCTGAGCGGCGCCCACCTGTTGCTGCTGTTGCTGCTGCTGCTGTTGCTGCTGTTGCTGCTGCTGCTGATGTTGCTGCTGCTGATGTTGCTGATGTTGCTGAGCGCCTGTCGGCGAGACCATGGCGCTGCAGTCGCTGTGCGAGACGGCAGCTGCGCCCTCGGGCACGCCCCGTTCGCTAAAGCCCGGCATGCCGCCCTCTGGCCCGTATTGATAGTGCTGCGACATTAAACGCTGCTGCTGCTGCTGATGCTGATGCTGCTGTTGCTGATGCTGCTGCTGCTGATGCTGCTGTTGCTGCTGTTGCTGCTGGTGCTGCTGCTGGTGCAGATGCTGTTGCTGCTGTTGCTGCTGCTGTTGCTGGGCAGCCGTATGCGGATGCTGTGCATAGTGTGCCGCATGACCACGCCCACTGACCACATGCAGCTGCATGCCTGGAAGAGCATAGCCAATGGGCACGCGTATCGTTTGTTGTGTCACCTGGGAGAAGAATAGTTAGTTAGATTGGCAAAGAAAGACAGCAAGACTTGCCATCTAACCTATTCTCTACTCTCCTAACTAGACAATACCATCTTGATACTAGCCCAAATCATTTTCTTTCTCTTAATATGCCTATAATATGGTCCCTTTTGGAATACTACTCTTTCATTTATATTCTGATCAATTATTGCCCATTTGCTATAATTATAAACAATTCTTTGCATGCCTTCTATTATTTATACTCTTCTTTCCTAGCCAAGAATTATCTCCTACTTTTTTATATACATACTTAATCTAATTTTATCTTAACTTTCACGCCATCTATACAATTTCATACTTTATCGGAATCTATTATATATATCCCATCGTATCTTAAATCCAACCCTAGCAATACTATTCCATATCTTTTCTGAGTCGCATTCATCCGATCTATCTCAATCTTTTTTTAATATCCAATCCTATGCGATCAATCTGTATATGTGCTAAATAAAATTCTATCTATATTATCCCAAACCTAATCCCAATCTATCTTTAATCTTATACAATCGACATTATTCCATAAACATTTTGTACTGTATTTAAGCCATGCCATCCAATACTTTCGTCGTATATTTTTATATTCAATTAGTACTTGTTTATGAATTTATCTGAACTTACCCAATCTAAACACTCTGCATATTAACCCGTCCTGTCTATAATATTCTATATATGCCAGCTCTTTAACTTTATCTAAGCATATGCCTATTCCGATCCTATCAATACAATCCGATATTTATTGTGATTCCTAATCCATCTCATGTATATTATACCATAAATACTTCATTCGAATCCTATCTTATACTATCTATACTGTTTTTTATCCCATACTTTCTCTGAATCTTATTTATATCCTTTTCAAACTTGACTTGAATCTGAATACTGAATACTGAATTCTAACCCATCTCATCATTACTATCCTTTTTTATATCCAATCCTATACGATCCATCCTTAATCTGCATATATCCCAAAATATATTCCTATCTAGACTATCCCACTCTACCTTGGATCAAATATCGTATACTCATTCTGAATCTTAGCCCAATCTATCTTTATATATCTTATATCCAATCCTATCTATGCTATCCCATTCTTAGTCTGCTTCTTATACCATACCATGTAGTATACCATATTTCTCCTATTCAAACTTGACCTGCATTTATCTAAGCCCATCCCATGCTCGATTCGATCGGGATTGGGATTGGGATCGATGCGATCTTACCTGCTGATACTCGAGTATATTCTGTCGCTGGATGTGGGCCAGCTTGGGATCGACGCCGCTGCTGCTGGTTGCGAACTGGGAGTACGTCTCGGCATTGTAGGGTATCAGGACCATCGTCTGGTGATAGTTGCGCAACGGCGGCGGCGACTCCGGCCGCCTGGTGGGGCTCCGTGCAAAATGGCTGCTGTAGCTGCTGTGCTTGCTCTGCTCGATGGCCGTCGCCGTCGCCGTTGCGGTCGCCGTCGCAGTCGCGGTTGCCGTCACGCTCTGGCAATTCTGGGCAGCGGCATAGAGCAGAGCGGAGGCGTCATCGGCGGCGGCGCCCTGCTGGATCATCGTCTGGCGGAACATGGCGCCCGCCGGCAGCGTCTGGTAATATGTCTGCTGTATGGCGGCGGCGGCTGCCGCAGCGGAGGCGGCGTCCACCGGAAATCGTTGCTGCTCCCCGCTCTCGCTGTAAAAGCTCCACGTGCGCTGCTCCGTCTTCTGCTGTGCAATGGTCGCCATTTGCTGCTGCTGCTGCTGCTGCTGCTGCTGCTGCTGCTGTTGCTGCTGCTGCTGTGGCACGTTCTGAGGCGAGGGATTCTGCTGCTTGGGCTGATTGGGCATGGCATAGCCCTTGATGGCCTGCGGCACGGGCTGGCTGCTGATCACCGTTGTGGGTATCTGCTGTGTGAGCTGCTCCTGCATCTGGGCGAGAATCTCGTTGGTGGAGCTGAACTTGGGCTTGATGCCGCGCACCGATGGCCGCTTATTGAAGCCATAATCGTTCTGTTCGTCGTCGTCGCTGCTCGCCTGCGACTGGCATTGGGAGGCGGTCTCCACGCCCGTATAGCGTTTCTTTAGCTGCTCGGTGCGCTTCGCCTCCGCCTGGGCAAAGGCGGCCAGCTCGTCCTGTTGCGTTGTCTCCTGCCCGGGCGTGCCGGCAATCACATCCGGCGCCACCTTGCGCGCCTCATCCCCCCCAGCGCCTCCGGCCCCGGCGCCGCCGCCGCCCAAAGCCAAGCCCTGGGCCACCATTGCCGCAGCGGCCGCCTGCTGGGCGACGGCATCGCCAGCGCCCGCAGCAGCGCCCAGCAGCTGGCTCATGTTGTAGTCGGCGGCGGCAGCGGCGGCTGCATAATGGGCGTGCGCATGCGCCGCATGTCCGTGTTGGTGGGCGGCGGCTGCCGCGGCCAGCGTATAGTAGGAGGACAGGTCGTCCTTGTTGCCCGCCACGCAGGCGGTCAGCGGCGCCAAAGTCGAGAGGAACTGGCGCTTCGGTTCGTTTTGACGCGGCGGCGTACGATGGATTTGCGTATGCACCACCGGCACCTGAATGCCCATGCCCAGATCCGGTGCGGCGGGGCAGCGGCATTCCTGTTCGTGCGAAGAAGCAGAGCGTTAGTGGCAAGGACTATGGCAATTGCTTAAAGCTAGCATTAAATGTGTGTCAGAAGAGTAGCTAGAGACTTTAGATTTGAAATACCCTTATTTCTAAACAAAAGGAGTTTATCAGCTTGTATCGATAACTTGTTATAATATCGATAAATATCGACTTTGAGAATTAGGTAAAATAACTCGAGAAATAGACGAGCTAGATGCAGCAAACTTCGTATTTAGGTTCGCTTATAGTATTTAAAGATTCTTAACAGTTCCCTTTTTATCTTTTATCTATAACTTCCCATAATATCGATAAATATCGATTTTGAAAATAAGTTATTCGAGCATAACTCGAGAAATATACGAGCTAGATGCACCAAATTTGGTATGTAAGTTCGCGTTTAGTATTTACAGATTACAAATAGTTCACTTTTTAGATAGCTGCCCTCATTTCTATTTAAATAGAAGAAACCCTATTCTTGAATATAGAGTCTTGCACTCTGGTATGTACATACTTATCTTTGTCATCTACCAAGTTTGTCAGTTACCCAAGACTACCTTTCCCATAGCTTGTGGTCTGGGAAGTAAAAGTAAAGCTGTTGCATGGCATCTGCTAGTTGGGTAACACTTGTTATTTTATTATTTTCTTAATTTTTATCTGCCCGCTCTGCTGAAAATATTTCAAGCCATAGATATTTTCATAAAGAAATTCCGGGCTAAATTTGATCTTCACCCAAAATTGGCATCAAGAACCAAACATGGTTAGATGTAATCCAATGCCTGGGAACAAGTTTATTTGAACTTTGAACTTTGGGGCTGGTTTTTGCCCAAAACTATTTGATTTCATTTCATTTTCAGTCTAGTCTAAAACAAATATGTTTTTTTTTTTTAACAAATATTCTAAAATCTGAATTATTCTAGAGAGGAGTTCGGTTTTAACTAAGTTTTCAGAGTTTGAAATAAAGAAAAGGCTTTGAATAGGAATTTTCGAAGTTTTTGAGTCCATATATTTTGTATATTTTTAAAGAGAAATTTGAAAAAAAATTTGGATCCTCTCCGAATAGTTATAATATAATTTTGACCCACAATCGATTAAAATGAAAATAAGGAGATTCTAAAGAAATTTCGAAAAATTCGGAAAAATGAATTTACAAATCTTAATAAAATCGATTATTGATTAATCGATTAAAAATATTGAGATACTAAAAATATTGGAATAATTTGGAAAAATGCATTTAAAAACCTAAATAAAATCGATTATCGATTAATCGATTAATAGGTTAATATGGAGATTCTAAAAAATTTAAAAAAATTAAAAAAAATGCATTTAAAAATCTAAATAAAATCGATTATCGATTAATTAAAAGTATTAAGATACTAAAAATCTTCGAATAGTTTGAAAAAATGCATTTAAAAATCGATTAATCGATTAAAACAAAAATATATGAGAAATTCTAAAAAAAAAATCGAAAAATTAAAAAAAAACACATTTCCAAATCTAAATAAAATGTGAAAGTAGAATTCATTTTGCAAAAATAATTGCCATACTCCCGAAATTGGTTAAGTTTTGACTGGATTAAGCACTAAATTGAATAGTTTGAATAGCTGGTCAGCTTCGCGCTTACCTGGGGTATGATGACAATGGGATTCTCCTCGAGCTCCATAATCTTCTCCTGCTTCTTGTCGCGACTGAAGATGTCAGCGATTTTCTTGTAGGCCGACGAGCCGCTGGACGAGCTGGAGACGGAGCTGCTGGGCGAGAAGCTCTTCTCGCCGTTCATGAACTTGGGCGCCAGCGTATTGGGATTCTCCTCGCCGGCGGGACTATCGCGCTGGGCCAGCTCCGAGCAGTCGCGCTCGCTGGCCTGATCCTGATCCTGATCGGCATCGGCAACGCCGCGCGACAGCTCCTCGACTAGATCCTCATCAATGTCGCAGGTCAGCTGCTTGATGCGCTCCTCCAGCGAAATGTCCGACTTGACGGCCTTCTTTCTGCAGAGGGCAAGCAAAACAAAAAAAAAACGGGGGGGAACATGAGCACTTGGAGCACTTGGAGCTCTGGCCGCCAACTTGTCGCACTTACTTGATCAGCGAGCGTCGCAGTATATTGCGCTCCATGCTGCGCCGCAAGGTGTCCGAATCGCCGCAGCTGCCGGGCAAATGGGTGACCAGGCAGCCGGCACGCTTCGATTCATCGAAGGCGCGCAACGCCTCCGAGGTGAGCACCGGCGCCTGCTGGGCCGAAACGCTCGGGAACAGCTGGCGCACCGCCGAATTGGGACGCAGAGCATTGTTGAACAGCGTCGAGTGCTTCTTGATGGGTATCAGCTCGTTGATCTGATTCTCGCTGTCGTCCAGCTCGCCGCAGAGCGACTGGCCATCGCCATCGGTGCCGGCATTCGCCTGATCCTCGGTCACAAAGCGCACCGAACGCTTCGTGGCGCCGCTCTCGTCCTCTGAGGTGGTGTTGTTCTGGTCATCCGATTGCTGCCCAAATGCAAATTATAAATGTTGTTGCTGCTGCTGCTGCTGCAGCTGCTGCTGCTACTCACCTGGGAAATGGAGTCCTGCTTCCAGAGTTTGCCGCCCTTGAGTATGCCGCTGATCTGCGTGGTCGTTGTCAGCTCCTTGGGCGGTATGGGTGGCGGTTTCTCCTCATCGTATGGCTCCGTGCCAGCGCCATTGGCGGCTGCGGCGGCGACGGCAGCTGCTGCCGCGGCTGTTGCGCTCGCCTTGGCCGGCAGCGCCGGTGGCAGCATGTCCGCGGCTGGCGCTGCGCCGGCAGCGCCGGCAACGTCAGTGGCAGCCACATCCTCGTGCGCCTCGCGTACGATTCGTCGCTCGGTCACTGTGGTCATAGTGGTAATAGTTTCAACAACAATTCTTTTTTTTTTGGCTGTGCTACTGCCCGCTGCTGGCACCAGGCTGTTGCCGTAGCCGGTGCCGGTGCCGGTGCCGGTGCCGGTGCCGGTTGCGGCAACGGTACCGGAACCGGAAATGGCACTGGCGGCGGCGGGTTTGCTACTACTGCCCGCGTCCTTTCTAACTTTGACTGTTATACACATATACACACAAACACACACACCCATATATATATATATATATATAAATATATATGACACGGAATATATCAGCACAATACGAATACGACATTTGCATGCGGCATGGTCAGAGCGAGCGGCATTATTGAAATTGTTATACGTAAGAGAGCATTGTACATATTTGCATTGACAGGAGGCACAAAAGGAGAAAGAGAGAGAGATAGAGATAAAGAGAGTGAGAGAGACAAAAGGGGTGGGAATGAGCGAGGTCGAACGGTTGGGTGTGAGCGATTTTACCGAGTGTGCAGAGTGTAACCGTTGTATAACTGTTTTACTCCAGTAGTATAACAGCTGTATTAGAGTTATATTCAGATGTATAACTGTCGCCTAATGGCTGCAAAACAGTATTGTAACTGCTGTAGGACATTTTTGCAGACATTATAACAGTTGTGCAAGAATAATATAACAGCTATGAAAATAGTTGTCGAAAGGTCCTACAGTAAAATCTGGCTTATGGTTAGAAAATTGAGGCACTTGAGTTGTATAACAGCTGTATGGCATTTGTATAACAGTTGCATAACATTAGTGTAGCTGCTGTAGAAAATATGTATTACAGACAGCTTCGCAGTTGTGTAAGAACTGTATAACAGCTAAAAACATAAACATATAGAATTTCTAGAAAGTACGTATAATAATCATATAGAAATTTGTAACAGTTGCTTAACAAATGTTAGTTTACATAAGTATAACAGATGAATGACTAACATGGGTATCTGTATAACAGTTCAACAGCCGTATACGGTAAAAATAACTATTGTATAACTTTTAAAGAATTTGAAAAGCAGTCGTATACAAGTTTTTCAACATTTCTTTTAAAAAGTATAACAACTGTATAACACTTAAATATCAGTTGATTAACATTTGAATTACAGCTATATGACATATTTGTACACATTCAGCAGAACAATTGTACACCAGTATAACAGTTAAATGAAATTTCGATAAAAGTTTAACAACGGCTGTATAACAGTTGTATATAAGCTGTATAACAGCTGCACAAATCGCTTTCAATTGGCCCAAAAAGAAATGTCAATGCACGATGGGAGTTAATGTCAATTTCAATATTGAATCGGAAAATTAGCTCAATACTTGGGGCTAAGGTTATATATTTACATACGGCAGATAGACTGATGTATGCATGATTGATGATAATTTTGGGAGTACGCTTGATAAATGTGGTGCTGCTCTTTGACCGCTGATTGCTGAGAGAAATGTTTTTGCTTATTCTGTGGGTGCTTGGCGTAACGAGAGGTGGATGCAGCGCTATATACAAAGCTAATGATAAATTGCAGAGCGAGAGCGTGTGGGGGAGAGAGAGGAAGGGAGAGAGCGAGAGATATATCGAACTTTACCTGCTGCAGCTGCCGCTGCGGGCTTGTATTGTGATTGCAGCACATATTTGGGCCGCTCCTCGCCGGCGATGATCTCCTTCTGCGTGATGCGACGCTCCGGGGAGCTGGTGTGCAGCGGCAACAAGGCCACAGCTGGCACCCCGATCGGCGTCAGCTCCTCGTTGCACTGCGACCCGCCGCATTCTGTGGAAAAAGCAGGGGTAAGCCAAAGAATTTACTTTAAATTTATATCGATATAAATGAAAGAGTCTCTTCTGAGTTGTTACATGGTCGTATAACTGTTTAAATAACAATCATATGACAGTTCAATTATGAAAAATGTATGACAGTTGTATAACAGTGCTTCAATCATAAAACTAGTTGCTTAGTTGTCATATAACAACTCCTTTTACTGCCTGATTAATGATTAACGAGCGGGGGCATTGACAGTTTAAAAACAGTCGTATGACAGTTCTATTATGAAAAATGTATGACAGTTGTATAACAGTGCTTCAATCATAAAACTAGTTGCTTAGTTGTCATATAACAACTCCTTTTACTGCCTGATTAATGATTAACGAGCGGGGGCATTGACAGTTTAAAAACAGTCGTATGACAGTTCTATTATGAAAAATGTATGACAGTTGTATAACAGTGCTTCAATCATAAAACTAGTTGCTCAGTTGTCATATAACAACTCCTTAAACTGCCTGATAAATGATTAACGAGCGGGGGCATTGACAGTTTAAAAACAGTTATATAATGAGATGTAATTTCTCTGCAGCAAACGTGGCTTCAGTGGCTGCGCGTCGAACTAGCAAGCGAGCAATCGCCAGTTTAAAGTCAGCAACAATTGTCGATAAGTAGTTGAGCTTTATACATTTCTTATTTTTCACGAAGAAAAATTTAGAATAAATGCCATAAAATAGAAATGAATACCTAATAGGTTTTAACTGTGATAATTGAAATACTTCTTTGGATCTTGGATCTTGGATCTTGACTTCAATGCTGTCATGAGTCTAAACCAAGTTTAGGGCTTGAACTAATGAACAGACGGAGGACAGAGTCTTTTATCTCTCTTTTAGTTACGATAATATGCATATATAGGAAAATTAATATGAGTTTAGGCCGGACGCGAGCTGATCATTTGAACAACAACATGATTTATTTCAGCCAGGCGATGCCGGGTAATACTTAATACTTAAAAATAGAGAGAGAGAGGGAGAGAGTGAGGGGCGCTGTTGCGCCTGTTGCTGCCGTCGCGGAAGCGCGCTTGAAGGATTGCTCTTGCGTCAGGGCGCGGCCAAAGCTTGACTCAACTTTGGCGGCCCGAAATTCAGTGGTTCAGTGACTCGGTGACTGTTGCGGGTGGGTCACATTCCGCTTCGTTAGGCGCAACAAATAATGCCTAAAAGGGGACTCAGTTCAACTGGTTGCGTTTGCCTCTCAATCGATAAAGCGTGACCAAAATTAATGCAAATGTAATGCCATGTCCCCTGCCCCTGCCCCCTGCCCCCTGCCCCCTAGTCGAGCCCTACCTACCCTGCTTCTGGCATTCGTTGAAAATGTATCGCTTAAGTTAAATATCCTTCTATGGAAGGCAAACAAAACCATAAACCAATACAAACTTGCGCTTGTTTATCCATTAAGTTGAGTTACCATAAATCAATCAACAGTTTTTTAGTTTTTGGGCAGAACTTTAACCAAGTTCGACAACTGCGGCAATGCGGGCGCCAGAGTTGAAACAAAAAAACTTACGAATTTTTCGCTTTTATATGCCAACCAACCATGTACTGCCTAGAAAATGTTTCCCCAAGGTTTTTTAACAAAATCTAAATCTAATCGGAGCGTCCTGTTGACTTAAAAGAGTTTCGTATAACAGTCGTCCAACATTCGTATTATGTATTATCGTTTTATGACAGTTATATAATAGTCGTATGACAATGGCTTAATAGCCAGATATAGAGTTTCTGTATAGTCGTATAACAGTACAATAATATATATGTGACAGTTCTTTTATCATAAGACTGTATGACAGTCGTATAACAGTTTGCCAATCATAAAAAGAGTTGTTAAACAGTCATATTAAGAGTTGCTTAGTAGTTGTATAACAGTTGAATAACAGATGATAACAATACGTATGACAATACGTATGGCTGTAAAGAAGTTGAATAACATATGTATGACAGTTCTATCAGCATAATTATAAAAGTTGTGTGGAAGTCGTGTAGCAGTTCGTCAATCATACAAAGTATTGCTTAGTTTTTGTATAACACTTGCAAAATAGTCGCTTAGTAGTCGTATAACAGTTTAATAACATACCAAAAGAATGTGTATGCTAGTTTTACTAGCATAAGTATAAGAGTTGTAAAAAAGTTCTTTTATCAGTGGCATTTAAGTTGTATGACTGTTGTATAACAGTTGTATAACGCTCGTATACCACGAAACACATTCGTGGGCCTCTCTGCTAGCCAGCAACATCGAAAATTCAAAATGGCGTCGAATTGATGGCCCACACCCAACGGGCACAGTCTAGACCCGGCCGACGATGGCCGACAACGGGCCTGTGTGTTGCATAAATAATTCATAATTAGATAATGCAAAGGCAAAACGAAAACATTTTGAATAGAGCGCCGCGAGCGACCCGCCATCTGACCCGGCCCAAATGGGATATGCCCGCTAATTGCATTGGAGCACTGGAAACATAACCCAAAAAACAAAAACAAAAATAAACAGGACGAGCCGCATTTACCTGCATCCTGTAGCTGCTTAGCGGCGCACTCAGCGCACTCGGCGCACTCGGTGCAAACGCCCTGCAGGTCCTCATCGGGCTGCTGCTGTTGCTGCTGTGGATGTTGCTGCTGCTGTTGTTGTTGCTGTTGTTGTTGCTGCTGTTGTTGCTGCTGTTGCTGAGCGCCGCCCACGGGCGGTGGCGGCGGCGGTATTTGGCTGTTGCTGTTGCTGTTGCGCGCCGCCAACATCGCGGCACGCTGCTGCTGCAGGCGCTGGATAACCTGCAACTGTTGCAGATGCTGCGCCCCGAAAATGTGGCCGCTGAGGGCGCCGCCCAGCGTATTCTTTAGGCTGTTATCCTTGTAGCCATCGGGTGGACTGAGCGCGGCATCGTCCACAAAGTCAATTGGCGGCTGGAACTTGGGGCTCTGCGAATGAGTTGCGAATCGCTTGGTCTCAGTTAATACGCTCAACAAAAATTGGTGCACAAATCAAAATTGTGCTGTCAACAATATTCTTAGCTCCAGAAATTGTTCTCATTTTAAGCCCAACTAAAGCTTTATTAATTTAATTTCAAACCTGTTTCAATTTTTCTATGCTTAAAAAGTTAAAGCTAAAAAAGTTTTCTTTACAGCGACTTGACTTAAATGAAGTTTGCATTAAGTACGAAAAAACTTAAAACAAGTTGAATTTTTTGTTCCCTATTGAAGAAAATATATTAAAACAAGTTTTCACGCCTTAAGCCTAAGCATGTTGTAGCTTATTTCAAGCTTGAAAATTCTTGATTTAAGCATTTTGTTTTGCAAGTTGTTTTCTCATGTTTGTTTAAAGTTTACCGTGCAAAAAACATGCCTTGCTTAAAAATCTTAAAGAACGAAATGTAATTGAAATGGAGCATAATTTCGTAGTTCGTAGTTTTTCGCTAAGTGTAGTATCTACTTAATGTTAGTTAGCTAAGTTAGTTATAGGCTACCGGCTTCTAGCTACACGTAATTGTGCGCCCGCTCGCAAATTAAGCTAATTGAGTTTTATAGCCAGACGAATGGGGGCGTTATATATATATAAATGAGTGTGTGTGTCTGTGTCTGTGTGTCCCTGTTGGTGCCTGTGTGTTAGTGTTTGTCTGGCTGATGAACTGTGTGTGCTCATAAATCTGTGTTAAGTTTCCTCGCCGGTGGTGGGCCGTGCACGAAACTAATCAAAAGGCAGCGACAGTTGTATAAGTATAACACTTGTACAGGGCTGTTAAACAATGTTATCACAGTTATATAATAGTTGTCTTGCCACATATAACATCAAACAGATTTAAATCAGCGGGTATAACAGCTAAAATGGAGTGTATACACTGAATAACAGCTTTTTGGCTGCCTTTTTTTATGAAATTCAGTTTCTTTTAGCCATTTCCTGACGCTCCTGACTGCGTATAACAGTTTTTCAACACACGCACATGTGTGTAACTGTTGACAACAGAGATTTGAAAAAATATGAAGCATGAACTAGTGTGCTGAAGCTACTGCAGCATGTGTATAACAGTTATATAACAGTTTTTTTTTTCAAACGAGCTTCCTTCAAGAGCTTAGTTGCGTTAGCTTTGAGTTTTAACAAATTTCATTGAGTGTATAACACTTGTATAACAGTTACATGACAGCTATATAACAGTTCATAACAAGTTTATATTGATCAAATGCTATTATGCATAGACAATATGCGTTTGTAAATATAATCCAGCGTATAACTTTTGAATGAAAGGTGTGAAATTGTTATATAACTGTTGTATAACAGTGCATTTTAAGCTTATATTGAGGAAGATCTTTTGTGGGTTAGACGATTGTGTTTGCCACTTGAGCACTGCATATATCGATTGAATAAGACGCATATAACAGTTGTCTAACAGTCGTATCACAGTTCTATAACGTTTGTATAACAGCTATATAACAGTTTATTTTCAGCTTTAATTTCGCCAACCGTATTGTTAGTTGGCATCAAAAATTGCTAACGCCCTCAGCAGAGCCGCAGCACGCAAGGACAAGGCACATGAACATTCGCATACATGCTAAACACATGCATATGTAAGTACAAATGGAACTACATGCGCGTAGTTGTCGTGTTTTCATTTAACACAATGCAAGACGACGACGAAGTCGAAGACGGCAACAAAGTCTAGGCCAAAAGTTCGCTGGTGGTTTTTGTGGTGCGGCAATCAACTTGCCCAGAACCTCTTTTCTACTTTGGTTTTTATTTTGTTGCAAGTTTAAGAAGTGCCACATAAAGCAAAAGCCGCACACATAACGTGTGCGAACTGCTACCACATGCTGGTTTTTCCCCATTTTTTTTTTTTTTCTTCTTGGAAATGCCAAACGGAAAATGGAAAATGGAAAAGTCGCTGCACGGTGCTGCATAACAACAGAACTTTCGCATAAAAATTGCCAAATTTTGTATCGTCATTTCGGGATTCGTTTATTTCATGCACTTGCAGGGTGTAATGTGAGCTTGTCGTGAGGTTTTTAATCAAATTTTTCCATTTTTGAGTCTCTACATTGTTGATTTAAGCAAAAATAGTGATTGGTTTAAGCACTTTTTGCTTCAATTTGTCACTTAAATGCTTAAGCCAAGAAGTCTTATGGAAAATGCAAATCTAGCACTTGCTTACTTAAAACAAGAACTTTACGTCTAAGTGCAAGTAGGCAAGTACTTGATTTAAGTAATCGCTTTACTTGATGAAAGCATGTGAAGCTCTGAGAATGAGTAAATGCAAAGTTCTTTGCAGCTCATCAAATTGTGATGTGATTTGGTTTAAAAAAAATTCTGCTTTAGTTAAATTTTGATTGTTTATGCACTTGACTTAATTGGGAAAAGTTTAATTTAATATTAATTTAATATGTTATTTATGTTTTTTGTTTATGCAAAATATGGAAATGCCCTGAAAATTGAGTTGATGTGTGCGCGAGCATTTAAATCTATTTGTAGGGTATATATGTGCTATATATGTGCGTGTCTGTTAGGGTATTCAATATTCGTTGCTGCGCAGGCAATTTTTTTGTTTTCCTTTTGCCTGTGTCTGGGACTTGGCTTATACAACGCATTTTGTAAACTCTTTACATACACTAAATGCATATTAAACTCTTCAAAGTGACTGTAGGAATAAGCACACACACACACACACACACACAGAGGCACAACCAGGCGCACAGACTTGAATCTTAGGCATTTGCCACATGCTTGAGCAGCGCCAAGTCAAGTGCATTGGGCGGCCACCCACTTGGCCAGGCCGCACTCAGACAGACGGACAAAGCGACAGAGAGAGAGGGAGAGAGAGAGAGACAGACAGTGGGCAGTCGGGGGCGGGGGCGGGGGCGTGCCGGGTATCAGGCTGGTTGGACAGATAAGCAAAAAGCGGCGCACTCAAGTGACGCTCATGTGGCAGAAAATTGAAATTTAAACGCAGCTTGAGGGCCGCTTAGGATCGATGCAAAGGCAAAAAGTAAAGGAGAAGAGAGAAAGGGGTAGAGGTTGCCGTGGCAAGGAGTGTAGCTAATGGCCAGCAGTTAAAGAGAGAGAGACAGAGAGAGGGAGAGAGGGAGAGAGCGAGATAGCGAGATAGCAAGTGCGCTGCGACAGCAACTTTGCGAATGTCCTTAACACATGAAACGCGTACATCACGATAAAAGGCGCACTTCAAGGCACAATTTCATAACACAATATATCAGTGATATATATATATATATATATATAAATATATATATATACATGTATAGAGAGAGTCACACACACACACACACACGCATTCGACAATGCTGCTGCTGTGCAACGTGCTGCACTTTCGACTTACTCGAGTTGCATTTTGTGTAAAAGTTTTTAAGTGATTTATACACCACTTGCGCAAGGAGCAAGTCAGGGGGTTAGGGGCGTGGGCGTGGGCGTGGGCGTGGGCGGCGACTCGCAGGCGAGACAAGCTAACTACAAACTTGCAACAGAAGCAGCAACAATGTGTGGCCGACTTGCAACTTGACTTGCCTCGACTGCCGCTTGAAGGCTGCTGCAGGATGTGGCACGGGTCGCAGGAAACAGGATATAGAATGCACCGTACACATTATGACGAAACTCAATAGCCCTCCCCTTCCCCAAAAACAATGTCGAATTACATAAAGCAATTGTGCTTTTTGTTGTGGCTGAGAACCGAAGGCGGGCACGTTTGTTTTAATTAACAATTGCACAGTGGGGCAAAATCAATTTTAAAAAAAAATGCAAAACAAAAGAAGGTTCAAGAAGCGACTAAATGACATAATACACAAACACATATCAAATTATAAGTATTCACATAATAAACATCAATTATGACACAAGGAAAGGGGAAGTGCGGCCGGATGCAGTTGGAGCGTAACATAATGTGACCATGGAGGACCACAAGAGCCGCCCACAAGACTGCGAAAAAAAAAACAAACACATGTGGAAGATGAAAGGGCAACAAATACGCGATTGAAGCCTGGAAAGGTGTTCGAAGTATTCTTAATGTGACCATGGAGGACGGCGAAAGGCACAAACAAATGCTAAATAAATGTTCAAATAATGAATGCGTAATAAATTTAAAATGTGGTTGTAATAACAAAAGTAATTGATAAGTGGCAGAGAAAGGCTGCAACAAAGTGAACATGGAGGACGCAGCATGGTCCAAATGAGCGCAAGGCTAGCCAAATCTGAAGAAAAGGGTGTCAAGAAGAAGGCCAAAAAAAAGACCCAATGAATGTTAGTTAAGCTAGAACTATCAAGTGACCATGGAGGACAGCAGCCAAGTGCGATAGAGACAAATTGTCAAAGTATTCAAAACAAGATCTATAAGAGAATAGACAGAAAAATGTATATAAAAAAACACCATGGAGGACAGCTGAAGACGAAGAATAACTACTTTAAAAAAAATAGTTCAATTGCAATAAAGTGAGCATGGAGGACAGATGAAAGCGATTTAGAAAACAGTTCGTCAAAGCATTCAAAGAAGTCTTATCGGAGGCCACACAAGAAATAATAAAAAACAGGGAATTTATTGCAATAAAGTGACCATGGAGGACAGCTGAGAACGAGGAAAATATATTTAAGCGAAATTTAATCGCCATAATGTGACCATGGAGGACGACTGAGAGCGATTAAGACAAATATTTGTCAACGTATTCAAGGAAGACTTGTCAGAGGCGACACAAGAAATTGCAATAAAGTGACCATGGAGGACAGCTGAGAGCAAAGAATTAAAGAAATTACCATGGAGGACATATAAGAGCGATTGGGACGAAGAAGACTTATCAGAGGACACACAAGAATATAAAGGGAAAATTGATTAGTTGCAATAAAGTGACCATGGAGGACAGCTTAGAGCAACTGGGACAACGGTTTCTTATAGTAATGAAATAAGACTAACCACAGTCTGCACAGGAAAATATATTTAAACAAATACTTTCATTACAGTTAGAAGACCATGGAGGACAGCTAAGAATAACAATTTTTAGGATATGGTTCAATTTGCAATAAAGTGACCATGGAGGACAGCTGAGAGCGGACAAGACAACAGCTTGCCCAGGTTTTGAAAACAAAATCGATCCGAAGAAGAAATAGTTATAAAAAAAGGAAATCAATTGCCATAAAGTGACAATGGAGGACGAATAGGCACCATAGCCTAATTGAATAACTTTAAAAGCAATTTATAATGTTGAACAATAAAATTGAAGGATATCGAAAAGGAAGAAATAAATGCAGTCAAGAAGGTTTATCGACTGCAAAAATTAGACAAAAATTAAGTGAACATGGAGGACAAGTCTAATGCATATGCAGCATTCAAAGTGGAAGCTGTGTTGAGTTCGTAAAATTATTATTCAATAAGACATGCAGAAGAGGTTAAATAGCAGCAAATGAGTATTAAACCAGAGGATAAAATACAGCAGTTGATTATTTAGCAGGAGGATAAATAACAGCAGCTGAGTTAATTAAAATGTGGCATGTGATGCCAGCATAAGCCCGTCGTTGAACGACCAACAACTAAATACAACAAACAAAAGAGTAGAACCATAGACAAGCAGTTAAATATTTAACATGAGCTGGAGCAGGGTTGCCACCCGGCAGCGCATAATAGATAAAGCTTTTGCATAAATAATCGCCTGCAGTTGACAAGCACAATATTTAAATTTAGGACAGCCTGCACAGCTTTTCAGTTGGCCATTTTAAGCTGGCCTGTCAACTAGCATGAACATTGACAGTAGGAAATAGGAGACATTTGTTAAGACTCGCTGGAAGTCGTTTAATACCTACGATTTAGCTAGCTGTCAGTGGCGCATTTTTTTTTGCCCGACTGAACTTGCGTTTCTGGTGCGTGACTATTGCCTACCTTTGAGCTGTGGCCAGTGCAAGTGGTCTGTCACAGACACAGACACACACACACACACACAGATGTCAAAGCCGCCTAAGCACTTCAACTTTGGGCACTTGTGCAACTCGACATAATCCGCTTAACGTGTGCGGTGTTTAAGCGCCCCAGCCACAGCGCCCCAGCCACAGCGCCCCAGCCATAGCTCCCGCACCCGAATTAGCAGGCCAGCGGCTTTTACTCGCCCATATTCGACTCGTTCACTCACCTGTGGCGTTCGTCCATCGCCGGGCTCGGCGGCATTAACCGCATAGTTGCACTGGCAGCCCTCCTCGCAGCAGAGGCGCACCAGCTCGTGCTCGCCGCAGGTGCATGGCTCCTCGTCCTCCTCGTCGTAGGCGCAATCCTCGCGTATCAATATGATGTAATCGGCCTCGAAGAACTCGTTGCGTGTCTCGTCGAAGACGACGCGATTTTTGCGCGCCGGCGGCGGACGATTCGGTTTCTTGAGCAGACCGCGCAGCTGGCCATTCACCTCACGCATCTTGAACACGTCTGGCCGGGGACCAAGTGCTGTTCCAGTCGCTGTTGTGTTTGTAGCGAGTGCACTCGCTGTTCGCTCGTTGTACTCGTTGCTCGCTGTACTGTTATGTGCTGCGACTGCTAGGCACTCATCGCACTGGCACTCGTTGCAATTGCTATCGCTGTTGTATTCGCACTCGCTGTCCAGCCCCTGCTCCTGCTCGTTCTCGTCCTGCTGTTCGCTAACGAATTCAGCGAGTAGCTCGTCGTAACACTGAAAGCCGCGTCGCTGCTTGACGCTCACGTGACTGCCGCTCGGCTCGCCTTGCAGCTGACTCTGGCTATTGTGATTGATGTCGAGCAATTGTAGCTGTCGCGCCGCTCTCAGATACTCGCCAAAGCGCTGCACATCGAACTCGCTGAGTGTGGCCACAAAATTGGCGGCGTTCGTTGACGAATCGCTGCAATTGTTGTCACAAATAACTGCGGGCACAAATGCGCTGCGTATGCAACTGTCTGTCGCTGTTGTTGCTGCTGTTGTTGCTGCTGTTGTTGCTGTTGTTGCTGCTGTTGTTGCTGCGGGCTTTGCTTCAATTTCAATCAGCACCTGGTCGCGGTCGTTGCTGTCAGCTAATGTTTCAGCTGTGCTCACAACACGCTCACCGCGCACGCGCAATACAAACTCTGGCAACGTATTCAGCAATTGCTGCTGTTGTTGCTGTTGTTGCTGCTGTTGCTGTTGTTGCTGCTGTGTGCTGCTGCTGCCGTTTGCTGTGGCAATTTGTTCATTTCCAATGTCTTGAATACAATTTACATCTAATTGTATTGCACTTGAGCTTGCCACGGCCAACAACGAACTTTCAACTATTTTATTGTCCTTTGCAGCGTGGCTGCTGCTGCTGCTGCTGCTGCTGCTCGGGGGTGTCAATGTGGGTGTGAGTGTTGGTGTATGGCTATTTGCTGCTGCCTCAGGGGGTAGTTTCTTTGTTGTGCTTATTGTGTGTTGGCCTGTAGACGTGCAGGCATTTAGTTTTAGTTGTTGTTGTTGCTGTTGTTGCTGTCTCAAGGATGCCTTTACACAATCAACTACAGCCGCACAACTACAGCTGTTGTTGTCGTTGCTGTTGCTGTTGCTGCTGCTGCTGCTGCTGTTGCTGTTGTTGCTGCTGTTGACGCGTCCCTGAAAATTATGCTGTAAGCGTTTTAGCCGCTGGCTGGCCACAAAATCATCGACCAAATCGTGCTCAAAATCGATAAGATCGTAATCGTTGCAGCTTGTTGCTGCTGTTGCTGCTGCTGTTGTTGTTGTTGTTGTTGTTGTGCTGCACTCGTTACTTTCGCTTTTATTCGTTGCTGTCGCACACTCGTTGTGCTGATCAGCTGCGTCGCAGTCTATGAGCGTGTAGCTAGCTGCACACTCGTTACTCGTTGCTTTTTGCTCGTTACTCGTTGCTTTCTGTGCGCTGCTCGTCACGTCGAACTCGAACGCTGTGGAGTCAAGCCTGAACAAAGGCTCGGCACTGCACTCGTCGAGCCAACTTTGGGCTGTGCTGCTACTCGCTGCCTTGCCGCGACTCGTTGGCGTGGCCCAGTGCGATGCTGCCGCGGCTGCTGCCTCTGCTGCTGCTGCTGCTGCTGCTGCTGCTGCTGCTGCTGCTGCTGCTTTGTTGTCTGCAACACTTTTCACGTAATCCACGTAACCGTCAGCAACAACAACAACTGGCACGCTTTCGGGCAAAACAGCGCCAGCAACACCAACGACATTATCAACAGTAACAGGGTCGTGGCATGGGCCGCTCGCTACGTTCGCCGATTCCTCACGCAAATATGGCAATGACAATGGCGTCTCCGCCAGCACCAGCACCTCCGATGTCTGCGTCTGTTTCTGATTTGACTTTGGCTCCTTTGCCTTGGTGTGGCTGCTGCTGTTGCTGTCAAATGTTGCTGCTGTTGTTGTTGTTGTTGTTGCTGCTGTTGTTGCTGCTATTGCTGCTACGTCACTTTGCACATTTTCACTAGGTTTATAAAAAAAATCAGCACTTAACGCATTTGTACTGCCTTTTTGCACAAATTTTTCTGTACGTTGCGCGTCGCCGTCAGCGTCGTCGCCAGCTGCGCTGCCCGCGTCGTTGTTGACGCCTGTATACAAAATTTGTTGTTGCTGTTGTTGCTGCTGCTGCTGCTGCTGCTGCTGCTCGTTTTGGCCAACACTTGAGCTGTCGTTTGCTATTTGCTCAATTTGCACAAAATTTTCACAAATTTTTAACAATTGTTTTTCTTGAATTTTTGTATTGTATTTGCCAAAATTAATTATTGGCTGCTGCTGCTGCTGCTGCTCAGCTGCGCTTGCTGCGACGACTGCTGCTGCTGCTGCTGCTGCTGTTGGTGGTGCGGCTGCTGCTGCTACTGCTACTGCTGCTGCTGCTGTGAGTTTGGCTTTGAAAAGCTCACTGCCAATTGTAGGTATTGAGCAGGCGCTGTTGTCGCTGCTGCTCCCGTTGCTCCCCAAGCCTTTGGCATTGTCGCTGTCGCCGTCGCTGTCATTGCCTGCTGCTGTTGTTGCTGTTGTTGCTGCTGTCACATTGGGTGGTTGTTGGCCATGGCCAGCATTGCCTGCGTTTGCGCTCACGCTCACGCTCTCACGCTCGACTTGCGCGCGCTCACATTTTGTGGCCACTTCCGCTCCTGTGTTGCTGCTGCCGCCGCCGCCGTTGCTGCTGCCGCCGTTGCTGCTGCCGCTGCTGCTGCTGCTGCTGGTGGTGGTGGTGGTGTTGTTGTTGTCGCTGTATTCAGCACGCGCATGCGCCTGCGTTTGCATGTCGTTCGCTGTGCTGGCCGCTGACTGGCACGCCTGCCGGCCCCGCACCGCGCCGCGCTGCGGCTGCCACGCACAATGCGCCTTGTATTGCACGCGAGCAACATCGGCGCGTGAGCTGCGTGTCTCGCATGCCAAATCGACGTCATCGCTGCCATCATCATCAGCAGCAACATTGGCAGCAGCAACATTCAAGCCTAGTCCACCGTTAGTCATGTTGCCCGCTGCTGCAGCCGCTGTTGTTGTTGCTGTTGCCGTTGCTGCCGTGATTGTTGCTGCCTCAATTGCAACAGCAATATACTCACTGTTGCTGCTGCAATTGTTGCAGCTGCTGCTGCTCTTATAATTTGCATCTTCATTGTGTTTATTTAGCGTTTTGTTAGCCATAGTTGCCGTCATTTTGCTGCGTTTCGCTGCTTCATCACATTGTTGCCTCTCCCGTTCCCGTTCCCGTTCCCGTTCCCGCTCCCGTTCCCGCTCCAGCAAGCTCTGTCCGTTCGTTAAGGCCAACGTTAGCATGTCCACAATCAGCATAGTTGCCGCCTGGCTAACACATACGATCCGTCCGCTGGCCGTTAGCCGCTGACGGCATTCGAGCTGCGAATATTGCAATTCTCAATTAGTTCAAGCAACAATAGAAATTAGCACATAATCATACAAAATAATACAATCACAATTATCGAGCAGCCGATACTTTCCATACAACCGTTAGCCGCCTTTACGTTTTCTAGTTTGTCGACAAATAATTACTTTTAACATACTTATTTCAATCAAGCTGCAAGAGATAAATCCTTGGAAATCGAATAAGAAAACCATTTCTCTGCTTTGATTCTGCTCTCAAAGGCAGGTCAAGAACTAAATCACGTAAATTTTAGTAGCATTTTTTTAAATTATTTTTTTTACAAATATTGCGGCAATTATCTAATCGAATCTAGGCAAAAAGTATTAACAAATCAGCTGTAGAATATGAAATTAAAAAGAATAATATAAAAAATACAAAAATAGTTGTTCAATTTGTACGATTAAATAAACTGCTTTCTATAAAATTTTAGAATATATTTAAATTTAATATATTTAAAATATGACATATATATGAGATATTATTATTATATGACATATTTTTGACATATGTATACTCAAAATGATATAAAAATATATTTTGAAATTTTTTAGCGCGCAGCTTACTTATTTATTATAAATTTAAATAAATATTCTTATATTAATTAAATAGTTTTAAATGGGAAAACAAAAAAGTGTTTTTTAAAAATGAAATTTTTTTAAAATAATTTATCTAGAAAAAAAAACGTTATTATATGATTGACTTTTGACAAAGTAAACAAATTTTGCAATTTTCTGGCATATGCTCAATTGTTCAGAAATAGATTAAACATTTGAATATATTTGAAAAATTAATGTTATTAAAATGTTGATGACAAAAATATTAGAAAATATTAAATATTTTACCGAACATGAATATTTAAAGTATCGAAATTTTTGGAAAATTTCGATCGAATAACTTCAAAAACTATTTCGATAAATTTGCGAATCAATCGGAGAAATATATACTCGAAATTTCGTGGTTTTTTACAGAGTTGCAATAGTTGAAAGACTAGAAGAGGTTCATATTATATATACATATACATATATATAATATCTTTTATTTATATCATATATATTATGTAACTTTCAACTCTTCATAATATTGTAACCATAAAATAAGATCAAAAACACAAAATGTATGCACACATGTAAAGAAAAGAGTTCCGAAAAGTTGGTGAAAGACAAGTTCCGGTTGTTAGGAAATTTCCATATTCAAATTATGATGGGGCTGGTTCATAGATATGGCGACAAAATGTGGGAGTTTTTCTTATCGTAAACTCTCACACAAAACATTCACCAACAGGTTCTCTGGCCATGGGGCGCAACCAGTTGATTTTCCACTTAACGAACCATATACCATAATCTAAAATAGAGTTTTTTTTTTTTTTCTAATTTTTGCATAAATTAAATTTACCGGCAAACAAATTTGGACACAAACTGTTGTTGGGAATTTTACGCGCGACTTGTCGTTATTGTTGTTGTTATTACTGCACTGACACAGAAAAACAGGTGCGCTTACTCAGCGAAGCGCATCCTGTGCTCAGGATACCCCGCACTCATACACGCTCGCACACAGACACGCAGCGAGACAAATGCAGCGAGTGTGCGACTGAGAGGGGGCTAGTTAATAGCGTGGGCTCGTTACGCGCGAATGCAGACCGAAAGACACCACCAACAAAAAAAAAACAAACAAAAACAAAAAAACACACACGCACG